CAGAGGCGCGGGGAAACCGCCGCTGCTGCCGCTTCAGTCAAAGCCTCAGAAGCGCGGGAACCCGCCCGGTGCCCCTGGTCTGCTGGAGACGGTCTCCAGCAGACCAGGGGCACCGGAGCAGCTTACGAACGGGGCTTTCTCGCCCCGACTTCCGGGGCGAGAAAGCTCCGTTCGTAAGTGCGGATCCGACGTAAGTCGGATCCGCGTAAGTCGGGGACTGCCTGTATCTGGCCCAGTGTGTGAAGCTGCTAGGGGATGGGATGGGGATGGAGGGGACTTGCCCTGCAGGTTGTAGGGATGCCTGCCTGCCATGGCTGTTCTGTCTGGCCCAGCTGGTGCCTGTGTAGGTGGGAGCAGCCCAGGAAATTAGGCGCTTTTTGAGAAGGTTGTGTGGGGAAAGGATCCTCATGGGAGCACTCTGTGATGCACGGTGACCAGACCTCAGCTTCTTGAGGCTCCCATGTCCCTGCCTGCTGGCATTAACCCCAGCTTGGGAGGGGAGGAGGGCCAGACCCAAGCCCCTGAGACTGCTCTGCTCTTTGCTTTTCAGGGTGATCGGGGCGAGAAGGGCGATCGGGGAGAGCCGGTGAGTGAGGCCTGGACCTACCAGGCAGGCAGCCTGCTGCACCTCTACACGCCACGCACTCTCCATAGCTGGCAGTTGTACCAGGATCTGAATCTCAATGGGATCAGAGGCAGCTATTGTTGCCCATGCCTGTGCGGGCATTTGAGATTGACAATAGGGGAAAAGGACCCTCTGACTTAGGGGGCTCAGGGCGTGCAGGGACTGTCAGTTGCATGTAGCCTCCAATTGTGGGGCTAGATTCCAAAGAGTAGGGGTAGGGGTGATGTCTCCTGTGCCCCTCCTGCATGTCACCGAGGGTGGCTCCTCATGTAGCCCCACCCTGACTTCAGCAAGAATTTGGGTTTGGCAGTGCTGGCACTATACAGTCCACTTGTGAGGGCTGGGATCAGAGACCGCACCCATAGCCCTGAAGGAGAGGTCCAGCACTTCCTGTGGGGCACAGAATGGAAGGTCCCTGGGATCTGAGCCTGAAGTAGGGTGGAGAGAGGTGCATAAAGGACAGTCCCTCACCTCCTACCAGCCCTGCCCCCATGGGGTATTGCTGCAGGGTCAGTGTACATGGGTTGCCTTCTCCTGGCGCTCTGGGTTTGGGGCTGTCTCTGCTCCGAGGGATCGTCTGCACCTTTGACCCACATCCCGTTTGTCTTGTCCCAGGGCAGAGATGGTGTGCAGGGTCCTCCAGGGCCCCCGGGGCCCAAGGTGAGTAAGTCCCCCCTCCCCACCTGGCAGTATTGCCCATGTCTGCTCACTGGGACCAAAAGGCTTTGGGGAGGGGCTGCTGTGGCACATGGAACTCTTGACTTGTTGGGCTAGGAACCAACTGCAAGGGATCCAAGTCCCCTGCTCCTTGGGCTGACGGGCGGGAGAGGCAGGAAGGTCATGTGCTGAGCTGATGGGCAAGGAAGTGCCCCATACTTCCCCCTGTCTCCCAGTTCTGGGAGATGCTTGGCTCCAGACAGCCTGGTCTTCACTGTTTGGCCAGGGCTGATGAAGTGCCAGCATGAACACAGGGCAGATCCTGTACACTCCCCAAATCCCTCAGCACGTGGCCCATGAGTCCCTTTTGCCCTGTGCTCTCATGGGATCCTGCTCTGCAGGCAGTTCACACACAGGCAGTGGGAAGCCATTGCAGGCAATGGCCAGGTGACTAAAACCTCTCAGGATAGCAGGTGCCTCACCATTGTGCAGCCCCAGCTGAACCAGGACACAGCAGCGGGGGCAAATTGCCCTAGCACCTGTCCTTTTAGCTAGCAGGTGCCATGAGAAGACCCTGAGGCCTGGCAGGGCTATTCCACCCTCATCCCTGTCGAACGGGATCAGTGCAGCTCTGCATGTCCCAGGAGAGGTCCCTGCCACCACCAACATGCAGCTCTAGACTCCGGGTGTCACCCCGAAAGGGACCTTCTGGACCCAGCTCCATTAGATCTGGTACAGAACAGAGCAGGTGTGAGCCCTGCTGCTCCACCACATCAGCCAGCCCCTCTGTGCCCAGGGCTGCAAGAGGCTGGGCAGGTTCTTCCACAGCTGCTCATTATGGGGTTTCCACTGAAGCAGCTGGGTTTGCCCCAGGGCAAGAGGGACCCATCCGTCAGATCTGGTCTGGCAGTTCCAGGGGATGAACAGGTATCTGCGCCAAAGCGCACGCATGTGTGCGTGTGCGTGTGTGTGTGTGTGCGCACACGCATGCACAGAGTAGGGCCGGGGAAGGCATTGATGCCCTGTAGGAAACCAGATTCCCCTGATGAGTTCCCAGGGCCATTGGCAGCAGGACAGCTGGCCCTAGGCTGGTGCCTCTCTCACTGTGCTCTTGTGTCTCCAGGCAGATGTTGTGGAAGGAAGCCTCTCGGGTTTTCCGGGGGAGCGTGGACCCCCAGGATCCAAGGGAGCCAAGGTGAGTGCCAAGGAGGGGAGAGGAGCCCTGTCTGTTCCCCATGTCTCAGTCAGAGTATAAGGCCCAAAGAGACCACGAGAGCATAGTCTGCCACTAACGCCACCCAGCACTGCTCACTGAACCCATCTCACCAGGTCTCCCGGGGAGCTGCAGGAAATGGTGCTGATAACTTTCCTCTCCCTGAGTTTGGCCCAGTGCCCCAGCTTGGTGCTAGGTCCCGGAGGTGCTGTGCTGCTACACTTGCTGCATTTCACATGGGATGTGTGAGAGCCTTTGAGATCACCAAAGAGCTAATGGCACTCGCTGCACAAGCATGGTGTGAACCCTTGTGTCCTGGCCAGACTCTCACGTGGAACAGGATGTGCCTAGATTCCTCCTGTACATCCAGCGGGCTCAGAGATTCTTCTTCATAGACTCTTTTAATGTGTGGTGTGATATTCAGCAGCCCCCACCGCAGAAGTGGCTGCATTTCAGTGGTGGGTGAAATGATTCCTGTTGTGTAGTGTTATAGCAATCAGCCTCTAAGCCAGCAATGGGCAACCCAAGGGAGCGAGTGGGCTGCATGAGTGGCCCTCCTTTGTCTCAGTGGGCAGCAAGAGTTTCATAACCAAGACAGTCTCCCAGGGCAGGGTAGTTTTGCTAACTGTGCTCGCATGCCTACAGTTTGCAGGGTGTGCCGACAACTGTAGCAGTGCTTTGACTGGAGGCAGAGGGAGCACACGGCTTTTATAGTCAGTGTTGTGTGCAATCAGCACACGCCTCACTTCACTTGCCCTTGATTTACATGCATGTCAGTTTAGCAACATCAGTAGGAAAAAAACCGACATGGACAGAAACCAGCAGAATATGGTGATTCTGTATGTGGACAACAGTAAATAAAATGGCTCTTGGGCCACACGTAGATCCCCGACAGCCTGCAAGTGGCCACTGCTGCTTTAAGCTTTTTATTTCCCAAGCCAGAGTTTGCCTTCAGCCCAGCTTGGAAACTGACACTGGTACTGTGAGCTCAGCCCGCTCTGGTGATAGCACATTGATTGTTGTAGCAACAATGATTTCAAGGGGGGAAAAACAGGAAAGCTGAAATGGGGCAAAGTGAATGAACAGTGCTGGGTCCTGCCATGAGGGCAGGGCACTGGACTCAATGACCTCTCAAGGTCCCTTCCGGTTCTAGTTTTCTTTGATTCTATGAAACACAAAGTGGGAGCAGGGGTGGGGCTTGGAGCAGAGGCAGCAATGATACCTGCTTGGATTGGGTAAGGTGGTAGCAGCTGCCACTCATGAGAGGTGTAGTGGTCTAGCCAGGACTCCTGGGTTCTCTTCCCTGCTCTAGGAGAGAGTGGTTCCCAATGGTTAGAGGAGGATGACTGGCTGGCTGTGGTTTGAGCCAGAGCTTTCTGACACTAACTTTCATTTTCTTCTCCCTCTCGTACAGGGAGAGTCAGGTGTGGATGGCGAGAGAGGACCCAAAGGAGATAAGGTCTGGGTGTAGTAAGTTTTCTGCCACCTGCACTTCAGCAGCTTCCCCTCTGACTCTGTCTCGCTCACATGGGGGGATCTCTTCTGCCTGGGGCACTTGACTCTGTCTTCGATCCCTCAGCCTCTCTCTCGCTGTCCTTCTGTCTGGCTGCACCATTGCTCAGCTGGCCAGTGCCCATGTCTTTGGGGCTGTCCCGCCTGTGTTGGACTCCTGGCTCCAGAGCCCTGCCCAGGCATCCCCCTCATAACCCATTGGAATGGTTTGTTCCTGGCGATGGCAGCTGCTCAGGCGAAGGTCTGAGTGGTCCATGGGCAGAGAGCTTGCATCTCCCGAATGGGGCCCTCCAGGGCAAGTGTGAAGCTTGTCAGCAGGTGATGGTGTGCAGGGGGCACAGGGGTGAACTTGCAGGGCCACTGCCTGTTCAGCCTGTAAACAGGAGACCTCGGCTTCAGGGCTGTCAAGCCAGAAGCCTCCACTCACAACCACTCCGGATATATTCTTTCCAAAAGAAGGAACAGTCGACATTATACCGCAGGTCCTACATATAAACAAAGCCGCACGTGAGTGCACTTGCTCCCTGTGCTGTACTACGGCATGAGCCCTGCTCCCTGCGCTGCCCTGAGAGCCAGTTCCCCTGCTTATTTCCAGTAAACACCCACGGCTGTGCTGAGCTGAGACCTCATATTCCCCATGTGAGGTCTCCCTCCCAAAAGAGTTGGGCAGCCCCAGGGGGATGAGGGAATCTGGCTTCCCCTCACGGAACATAGAGGCTCCTAGTATCCTAGCAGGTGAGCCTCTTCCTGCCTGGCCATGGGCAGGGAGAGGACCTCAGAAGGGGATGGGTCACGCTGATGTCCTGCTGGCAGGGTGGGGGTGGGTCACGCTGATGTCCTGCTGTTTTGTGTGACGTGCTGCGTGTCCCAACTGCAGGGTGAGGCTGGGCAGAAGGGGGAGAGAGGAGAAGCTGGTGAGAAAGGCAGAGATGGCAGCCCGGTAAGTACTGCTGGTGGGACCAAAGCCTCTGGAACCGCAGCCGTGTGTGGTTGGGACTGAGGTTCCTTGGCAGAGCTGCAGAGGGAACTGACCCAGGGGGCTGGGATGGGTTAGGGAGCTGGGGGCTGAGGCTAAGCTAGCATGGGGGGCTGGGGCGCATTGGCAGAGCTGAGGGAGGGGGCTGGGCTGTCCCAGGGGGCTGCAACGCATTGGCAGAGCTGAGAGGGGGGGCAAGGCTGGGCTAGCACAGTGGGTGGGGGGATTATTGTGCATTGGCAGGGCTGAGGGTGAGGTGCTCAAGTGAGGTGCTTTAGTGCTTTGAAAGAGCCACTAACCCCTCAGTGCCTGTCTTACGGTCTCTCCCGTGCCTTGTGTGCTTTAGGGCCTCCCAGGTGAAAGAGGCCTTGCTGGGCCAGAAGGCAAACCGGTGAGTCATGGGAAGCATCAGCCTCTGACGAGGGGGTGTGGGAAGGGAGCGCTCGGGAATGGGGTGGTGGGAGGAGTGTGAGAGGCTGGCTGGGAGGCAGCTTGCAGAGAGGTGAGCTGCTCATGTGGGGTTTCCCAGGAGCCAGAGTCCCTGTGTGTCATGGGGTTCAGTTCAGGGCAACACTTCCCAGCTACAGAGACAGGGCAGCTCCAGGAGCCAGGCCAGCCCCCCAGAACCCCGCCTGTTCCCCAGTAACGCTGCCTGTTCCCCGGGACCACAGCAGGGCCCTCTAGAAGTCTCTGGACTGGCAGGGGTTTGGGATGCTGAGGAGGGATCCCCGAGGCAATCTCTGGCCTTTGTACAGGTGGGTGGGTTAGCACAGGATGCGATCCAGATCGGGAGGAGAGATTTGGGCTCAGCATACGACCATGAGCCCCCAAACCAGAAGCCTTTGTTCTGTCTGTCGTGCTGTATTTTTGTGCTCTCGGGAGAGGTGGGAACGGGTGTCCCGTGCTGACTGATCGAGCTGGGAGACAGCCCCCGTTTATTTCTGGGAACACGTCCACCTGTGCTAACCAGCGGGGAACACTCTCTGTGCAGCAAATCCTGCCGCACAAGGTGCCAGTGTCCCTGTTCCAGCCCCTTTGCGCCCCTGTGAGCAGCATTCCCCATGGCGACATTGTGCTGCCAGCTCATGTGCTGTCATTTTGTGTCCTTCCTTTCCATCCAGGGCCCGCAGGGCTTTAGAGGGCCTCCCGGCCCGGCTGTAAGTAACCTCCATGGTAGGCCTTGGTTCTGGGCCCCGGTTGAGGTTGGCTTCCCCAGCTCTCTGTCTATCCTGTGCAGCAGCTCTGTCTTGGCATCACGTTGTGTGGGAGGCCCGGCCCAAACTGGGGCTGCTTCAGGGGCTGCTGGGGTTTCGTTAATTCTCCGGCTTTGAATTGCCTCTTTGCAGGGTATGCCAGGCTTTCCCGGAGTTCTAGGCCGACCGGTAGGTGATTGCCTTCCCCTCCTCTCTTGCGCCTCTCCTGCATGTAGCAAGTACATCTTTCTCCTGCGGAGTCTGGGGCCTTTCTGCTTGCAGGAGCAGTCTGCATTGTAAACTTTCACAGGGAGGCAAAGATCGTGCATCTGGAGGTTAGAGCAGGCACTGGGATTCCAGAGATCTGGGTCTCTAGTCCCAATTCTGACTCACAACTTTGAGCAAGTCACGCATGCTTTCCTGGCCTCAGTTTCCCCCTCTGTAAAATGGGGCTAATAACTCAGAGGCACCTCACAGGTATAAAGCACTCAGAGACCTTGCATACTGGTGCTAGAGCAGGGCCTGGAATGACTGACTGTGTAGTGCACAGCTGCTTAAGAAGTGCCAATGGCGCAGAAAGCGAGAAGGTTAAAATCCTGTGTCCATCTGCCTGGCCCTGTTGTAAATCCCCCCGAAGCAGGCTGGGGTTGCACTGATCCCTATATTGTCCCACATATGGTGTGACATGCACAATAGAGGGTGGAGACTGTGGGTGCAACCCTGGTGCCCGCTGAGTGCAACTTCCCTCCCTCTGCAGGGCTGTGAGAGAGAGCTATGCCACAGCGGCAGGGGCATTTCACATGAAGCTAGCTCAGTCCAACCCTTTGCCAAGTGTATGATCCAGCCAAAACTCAGTTAAACCCAGAAGCCAGTCAGCTCATCTGGCCTCTGCAGTGGCAAAAGGCGATCAGTCTTCGATAGCCCCCATCCAGTACTGACAGTCTCTTTCCTTTCCTGCAGGGCAACCAGGGAGATCCAGGGCCCCCAGGCCCAGCTGTAAGTAACTCCTGCCTTCTGTACCTTCTGTTGCATATAGCCATATGCACATCAGCTGCATCTCTGCTGGCACAGGGGAATCTGCCAGTGCCTGAACCCCAACATTCACAGTAGTGTCCAGATGGGCTCAGGAGGCTGAAACCTGCGTGCATGAGGTTTTGGTCCAGCACAGAGCTAATAGTGGGAACAGGGAGCAGAAAACAGGATCCCAGTGACATCCACTGGAGCTGCCAAAGGCACACAAAGCATTTCTGTTCAGCATGTACCTCCCTGCCAGCCCTCCCCACGGGGCCTGCAAGAGATGATGCCTGCAGGGCTGGAGGCCCAGCTCTCTGTGTTATTAGCAGGGCCTGGGGGATGCGGACGTCGGGTGGTAACAGATGTGTGTACGGCAGATCCCAAGGCAGCAAACCAAACAAGAAACACGTCTGCGCTGTCTGTGCTGGGCCCCACAACTGACTCGGAGGCACTACTGGGCTCTAGTTGTACCTGGGGATACCAGCCTCTCTCTTCCTTGCAGGGGCTTGCTGGACCACCAGGCGCTCAGGGCCCATCGGGAATAAAGGTAAGTCCCAGACAGCAGCTTCTTCCAACCCACTGGAGGCTGGACCTCGGACCGGGGGAAGCTGGGTTCCTGCTGTCTGTGCTAGGCTTAGGGACTCCAGAGGGCTGTGTTAGCTGAAGGAAGCACTGTAGATCAATGAATAGTACGAACCTGCAGGCATGGCCCATCTGCCCACCGGGGAAGGCCTCCAGATCCATGCAGAGTATGTGGGCTGAGGGAGGGCCAGGCATGAGGCATGGGAGATCTGGCTCAGGCCTGGTTGGCGCTCCTTGGTCTCTCACCAGCTCTGTGTCCTGGCCCCTGTCCTGCAGGAACAATCCTTGGCTAACAATCCCAAGAGGCCTATGAGCATCTGCTGTGCTCAGTCCTTGTAGAAGCTGGTATGGGGGAATCCTGTCTGTGCTGCAGTCTTGTGTAAGCTTCTGCCATCACAGTGAGGCAGATAATGTCTGGAGAGGCTGCTGTGAGGCCTCGTGGGCTGGATCTGGGATTGTTGTCCCTGCTGGGCGGGGTTTATAACAGCCTCTCTTATTGCAGGGAGACCCAGGTGAGCCTGGCTCCAGCATTCGGGTGAGTAGCTCTGCCAGGCCCTGCTCTCCATGCCCTGTGCCCATGCAGGTCGGCTCTGGCTTGCTCTCAGCTGCTTCTAGAACCTTACTCAGTGCATATACACCTGCCCTAGAGCGTGTGCTGGGCCCTTTGCTTAGGAGAGAGCTGGTGTGTCCTGATTCTGTGACAGGCCAAGGCCTGGGCACCCTGCAGAGTGACTCTGCCTAGGGGGAGATGTTGTTAGTGGGGGGATCCACTCTGCCTTTAGGAGAGACTTCCCCTGCCCTCTAACATGCCTCTTTGTTCTGTTGCAGGGCTTGCCCGGACCTCAGGGGAATGTCGGCCTCCCTGGACCTTCAGGTCCTCCCGGCCTCGTGGTAGGTAGCTAGTGTGGTTCTCTCTGATCTGGGTGTGGTCAGGGAGTGGCATTTGAATGGTTTCTGTACTGCTGTCCAGGGTGGGAGATTGTCGGTTCCTCCTCCATTATCTTTGATTCCTGGCTGTTTGTCTTCCATCAGGGACCACAGGGCGCCCCGGGATTGCCAGGACAAGTGGTAAGCATTACTTGTGACCCGTGTCCCAATACCCCTTTGCTCCCATGGGGGTATGAATTGCCTTTCCCAACTGGCCAGCACCCTACTGCTGGCATCTCTTCTCTTGGCAACCTTTACCTTTGTGCATGAGTCCATTTGGCAAAGCTGGGCCTTCCGTGGCTGAGAGGCAAGATCCAGGCGACCCATTGCACAGCTGATGCTCTTGTTCCACTTTGCCGAGGCCTGGAAGCTGTGGGCAGAGTCTGATGGAGAGGCTAGCTGTGGAGTGGATTGTTAGCTGTGCTGTATGTTTCCCCCACCTCTGATAATTCCAGCTACTCCTTTCCTGTTTTCTAGGGCGAGACGGGGAAGCCTGGTGTGCCGGGGAGAGATGGAGTGCCAGGGACGCAGGGAGAACCTGGGCTGCCTGGAAAAATTGTAAGTCCCACCCAGGTGTTAGCTGGGCACGTGCCTCTGCTACAGTGAGCTCCAGCGGGAAGGGGAATTTCAGCATTCCCCAGATACTTGGGTGACCCAGGAGCTGGAAATGCCACGATCCTGCTGCACTGAGCCTCTCTGTGTCCCTGTGTTTCTGCCACTGGAGACCATGTGGATCAGGAGGAGTTCTGCATCTCTCTGTGCAGCTGCCTGCCCCTGTGACTCTAGCCCAGGTGGGATGACACAGGAGATCTCCACCAAATATAGGTTCCAGGGGATGCAGCGCCTCTGATTTAAAATTAGCACTGAGCGCTTGGCTTTGAGTTCTGTGTGGCTTAGATTTTCCGTAGCAGCATGCTATGTAGAAGAGTACGTTGAATTCAACCAATGGGAGTGTGGTATGCAAACAAACTAAGGGTATGTCTACACTACAAAGTTAATTCGAACTAACAGCCGTTAGTTCGAATTAACTTTGATAGGCGCTACACATGCAAACCGCTAGTTCGAACTTAATTCAAACTAGCGGTGCACTTAATTCGAACTAGGTAAACCTCATTCCACGAGGACTAACGCCTAGTTCGAATTAAGGGCTGTGTAGCCACTTAATTCGAACTAATGGGAGGCTAGCCCTCCCCAGCTTTCCCTGTTGACCACTCTGGGCACCACCAGGGAAACTCGTCTGCCCCCCTCCCGGCCCCGGAGCCCTTAAAGGGGCACGGGCTGGCTACGGTG